GTAAATGTGCAAACAAGCCTGCATTTAACTTCTGACAGATACTGTAATGGTGAAATTGCAGACACAAGCAGTGAAAACAAAATTAGCTCATTAGTGCCTTTACCTCACATTCTATAGAACTTCTTATACATATGACATAAAAAATAAATAAGTACTTAATTTAATATTGCAATGTTGTAAATAGAAATAAGTAGACAATAAAAAAGAAACTACGGTTGCGTGTAGAAACTATATAATTTGTAATTAAGAAGTTCATTTAAAATAATCTACCCTGAATCATTTATTATAAGTTGAGTGTTTGCAAAATAGTTGAAACACCCTTTTATGCCATCCCCACGTATCTATTAACGTTACTTAAGGTAAATTCTTTTAAATAGGACAATCCTGTAGAAACAAAATAAAATTTGTAATAATATGAAATCTGTTGAAAACTGGAGGTCGAAAAAATCATGATTCCTATACTTTCCTTATCTGTATACAGATAGGAAAGTAAAAATTATAAGCATGCATGAGATTTGAACAGTCATAACTTTTCTTCCGGAAATCTTAATTTATTACAATCTTGATGACAACTTTCTTTAAGTTTTTCTGTTAAGCACTAATACAAGACACAACATTCCTGATACACGTATACAATTCTTGCGCTAATAGAAGTTATAAGAAATAATTTGAAGCAAATGGAGTGAGAAAGATAGATACTAATATTATCACTCACAGAAACAACCAAATTTAATCGGAAATTATTCAAATATAATACAGTTGATTATTAAAATTATGAAAGACTCATTTACAGACTAAGATAAATTTAATACAGTAAAGTATACATGTCATTCGAGCTTCGACAGTTAAAGCAACTACACCTAGGCACTATTTTTAAATTGGTGTTTCTTCTTAACGTTGTAATACATACCGCATAAAAATTATCGCATCTTGTATATTTATTTATGTTCGAATTAAATGACATAGTTTTATCAGTTAAAGGAACAGTCTTTGGATGATATGTAACTGTAAATAACTCTAGCGTTGGTTTGAATTTTTTGTTGTGGGTAATAGTAGTGTCTGCACTAATAGAGAAAGTATGTACGCTACTTCAAATATACCAGTGTACCATGGAGGAAGGATTGAAAAAAACCTGCACGCCGTCTGGCCCGAACTAGCACATCAATCTTCTGTCTAGGAATCTCGACAGTCGTGGAAGGAACACTTGTCTAACAAACAAGGATGTGTGGGTTGGATCCCTAGCTGTGGCAGACTTTTTTTCAAATAATCTTCAAGTATTTGTTTTCACCGTTTGGAGATTTGTCTCCGAATTTTCAAAATATTCAGCAAACTTATTTCAAATTTGTATTTCTGATCTACGTTATATTAACAGAAGCGGCGCAAGGCGTGAGCCACCGCCTACGGCCTGAATGGCCTCGCGCCTCAAAGGTTTAATGCAGCTTTCTTTAACTTGATGAAAAATATTTATTTTGTATCCTTCTCACATTTGACCTACCTATATGTAAGCAAAAATCATATAAAAGAATGTTAACTTTCAAACAGAAAGAATGCCAAATTCTAAACATTATCAAAATCTGTTTTTTGTTCCAATATATATCTCTCGAAGTGGCGCCGTAGTGAAATAACAAATAGGTAATATTGTTTTTCTACACCCACATGGATATTATCTACGCTATTGCGTTCAACTGAACGAATATATTTCAGATTATGGTACAAGAGTTCAGTAAAGCTAAAAGCAAGAAATTTATGTTTCTGTAATTCTTTACTGCTAGTAATAATTACTTAATAATATTAGTTAGAATCTAAAAGATGTTAGCATTTTTATGAATACAAGTTTCAATTTTATTTCTCTTTATAAAATCCATCTTATTGCGCCACCAGAGGGCCTCGCAAAAATGTATCTTGCCCACATAAAATTTAGGTCTTGCCCCGCCACTGTATGTTAAATTCACAATTTGCATTTCTTAAATTCTCAAAAATTCTGAATACCATAGTTACCACACGTACCACAAATTATATAATAGGGGAGACTGGATTTGGTTCGTATTTGGATACATTTCGTAATATATTACCGTTTTTGATTTTTTTTTTAAAAAGGTGATTTGGAAAAGTTGTTTATTTTAATGATTTCTATACACAGACACATAAAAGTATCAACTTAGGATTCGCCCTGTACATACGAGTATTATTATTATTATTATTATTAACATTTTCTGATTGTTTAAAATGATTAGGACTTAAATTTTATGAGATGCGATAATTTTTGTGCTGTGGGTATTTATGACAAGTATGTATTGCTTTTTATACAGCTATTTACAAAGTTACTGAAGTTACTTCTGTTTTGTCCCTAGTTCTTTGTAATTTGGTGTAATATCAGCCACAATCACCTCAAGAGTTGACATCTATTAACCTCTAATATCTCAGGCAAGAAGGATATCACAATTAATCTATTAAAGACTGGAATTTCCATTAAATTTGCTTCTTTATCGGTATCGCAGTTTGCGTGACATTATTGGTATCAACATTGATATCTCGGCCATTAGCTTTGTGACTGTTTCCCAGTGCCACTTTGGAAAGAACATCGTTGATTATATCTCAACAATGAAATATTGTTTTTATTGCAACAAGTATAGAATCATTTAAACAAGGCAAAAAAGGACTCGACCTTGCAGATCAAGGAAAGTTGTTAAGTTTGACGTAGTTTTCAACACTGCCGCTCGTATATTATAAAAATGGCGAAAAAAAATAGTTATTAAGGCCAATTTAACTATTTTTCCTTTCCATTCTACTAGATTTTTTGACTGCTTGTAGAGAGAATATCTAAACTAGCTGTAGTGTGTTTAACGATGAAAACTCAGATTGCTAAGTTATTGACAGCAAAAAAATACATAAAATTGATTCCAATATTTTTGACAATACCTATTTTTAACATAATCTGAAATTTTGACGCTTTTTCCGATGGCAATGCCTTAAGGTCGAAAACTAAGATATTAAATAATACGTAGATCCAGAGGTCGCGGGTTGTATAAACAAATATGTTCACGAATAAATGTTTTTCACAGAGGTACTCACCAAAAATCCAAATTGCTGCTTCTGCTTTGATTAGTTACGCACCTTTACTCGCCCTGGCTTACAAGTTTAGTAATTTCATACAGAAAATATGGTATATATATGGGATATATTTGTTACTAATAAATTTCTATTCAATTTGTTTATTTAAAACTACATACTCAATATAATACCAAACTGTAATATGAACTTTTCTAGTTTTTTAGGAAAATTTAAATGCTGACCATAAGAGGCCCAAATAAGGCAGAGAGTGTATTAAGGTATTAGAGGTCGATAATGGTTCGCAGTATAGTGGTGCACGTAAAATAATAAAATAGTGATGTGAAATATTGTTTAACTAATATTATTTGTTATCATGGAATTAAGAGAGGGAAAAAAGATTGGGCGATCAGATGAAGAAATTGAAGAAGACTGATCACAAATAGAAGAACAGAATTTGGAAGAAACTAGTGATGCCGCGAGCCGAGAGATTCTCGTCTCTCGTCTTGTCTCGTCTCGAACGAGACGATTCTCTCGAAAACAGATTCGAGACGAGAGAGTGTCATCTCTCGACGAGAATTTTTCGTTTCTCTCGAGCAATTTTTTCTTTGCTTATTTAAAATTTTCAATTGCATATAGTAACTTAAAATTTTAACATATTACATTTCGAAATAGTCAAAAAGTTAACTATAACAAACCTATTCTATATATAATTTCTTATATTTAATCCATTCTGCTTTTCTGAGGTTACTTTTGAAAATAAGATGAAAATTTTTAAGCGTTTTTTCGAAAAACTGTCAAAGAAAATGTAATACAAACGAATGTATTATATACAGTGAGGACGAACATTGTACCCTCCTCTATTTTAACTTCTAAATGACAAAACAAAAACGAAGTAAAACTCAAGAGATATATTCTTGTTATAACGAGATGCACTTTACTTGAGACACGTAAGATAGAGGGAGATACTTGTCTCGCGGCATCACTAGAAGAAACAAAACTTGAAACGAAAATTGATAAAAGTAAAATAATATATATACGTTTTATTTTGCACCCTATTAACGGAGATACTTTCTCTAAAAAAAGTTTATTTAATAACTACCAAACCAATAAATATGTTTTTACCAAATCTGACATCTTCCTTACTTTAGTCAAAAGCAGTGATTTTTAAAAATAATTGCTTTTACTATTCTATGAGGAATATATTACGTGGGGAGCGAATTTGAAATTAAAACTGAAGATATACAAGTAGAACATTGGAGGGGAGGGTGGGTTTCTGGTGGTCCTGTAGCGCTGTTGCATATACAGGGAAAAATCATTTGAAGTTTAATATATGCAGATAATGTGATGTGAAATTACTCGGTAATTTGTTGTGAGACTTAAATGAGAGATTAAATCAGTAGACAGAAATAGTAAAGACAATGGTTAAAGTCGAGGTACAAATCAAAGAAAATTAATTAGTTACAGTTTTTTGTAAGTTTCTTATGTACTTACTCGTCAAAACAGAAGTATAAAATGACATTCTTTATAACTGATAAACTACAACATTAAAGATAAATTAATGTTTTAAATAAAATAAATACAGAAAATTTACTTTACATCTTGCGAAATGTAATTTGTTTTGCTTGTTTTCTTCGATTTTTCTGACAGGCGAATATCAATTAATGTTAACGAAAAAAAAAAAATATATATATATATACACTATGTTGGAATCATATGGAAAACTTTTTTATTATTCATTTAGGAAAAAAAGTTATTCTTCATAAAAAGTTCCGCATTATCTAAAACCTAGAATACAGTCATCAAATATCAAATTTTTTCAGTGGTATACGAGGTTTGTCAAAAAATATGAATTTTGTTCAAGAGTAAAGTACGTTTATTTTTGACAAAATCGAAAATGTTCATTAAGAAAAGTTGATTAAGATTGAAAATTACATTAAAATATGTAATTACACCGATCTATCTGAAAAAAGAGATTTTCTTATTTTTTTATAAACTTTTCTACACATTGATTGTAAATATCTGAAAACGTTATAAATTACGTTAGCACATGATACGCTTTCCTTTTCTTGATGTTTGTGAAGAATTTAGCAATTTTCTTAATGGAAATTTTCGTACTTTACTCTTGAGCAAAATTCATATTTTTTGACAAACCTCGTATACGGCTTGAAAAATTTGATATCTGATGACTGTATTTTAAGTTTTGGATCATGCAGAACTTTTTATGAAGAATAACTTTTTTTCCTAAAATTAATAATAAAAAAGTTTTCCATATGATTCTAACCTAGGGGGACATACTGTATATAGAAGACTTGTTGGACTAGCGAGAGAATCTAATATTTTTAATTTTTGAAAAATATAAATAACATTTTGGAACTTTCAAGTCATTGCTTATTTAATCCATCGGTTACAAGACATGCTACGAAGTATTTCAAGCAGTTTAAAAATTATTAAATATTATGACTGACCAGTAACAAACCATAAATAATATATATTTAAAATATGTACATCTGCATAATTTAATTTGAATATAATAAAAACACATTTCCTGAATAATATTGTGGTATTACAATATACCTACCTATATGATAATAAATTTAAGTATTCACAACAACTAATATAGCAAAAATATAATCAATTATTAAATAATTATAGATAAATCACACTGTACACACAATTACACAATCGATTGAAAATTATATAAATCCAGAATAATTAATCACAATACAGTCGCAATTACCTATACAGAAATAGAAGGTGTTCAGTCAGGAGCTGATACAACTTATATATCAAACTATTTACAGGGGTTTCCAACTGAAACATTAATTTAAAATTCTTACATATTCTTTGTATTTAAAAAAATTACTACAGCTTACCAACCCAAATATATTAGGTGTTCAGATCAAGAAAAGATATACCTGAATATGCATGACTAAATAAGTTTATTGGCACAGTCCGAGAGCAAAAATATAATTTGACAAACATCCAGGGCGTGTCCAGTCATAAACTAATCACAACATTTCGTTATTTTAATTAATTAAGATATTTTATCGAATTATTTTACAATATTTTGAACTGTTCATTTAGTAGTAAATTTAATGTATGTCAAGGCGTATGCAAGTCAACTTGTGATCACTTGTAAACAGGGCCAGTTTTTACAGAAGAGAAATGATGCTATTTCTTTATAACAGTTTATGAGTATTTTAAAATACTGCAGTCGCCTGGCTACCATCAAAAAACTGTATAAATATTGCATTATTGTTTCGAAATGCAAAAATACAACAGTAACAGCGGTAGAAAAATTATGTATTCATCTTTCTTCGGACATTAATATAAGAAAAACCTAGGATAAACTTTGTATGAAATAAAGACAGTAAATACTGTCCCATTTTGAAATGTGAACAAATTATGTGAAACAAAAAAGCCAAATTTTCAGATTTATTTTTCAAATATTTGTTTATATTTTGGATACTTTGTGGACTCCTCCGAGTGGAAATAAGTATAATTAGATTTTTAATTTCAACCTCCTTAAAAGCAGTCGATTCTAACATCCAGCAAAATAGTATTTTTCATAAAAAAAATTAAATTGTATAGCACCTAATTAAATCTCGGAGCTGGCCAAGTTATTAATTTTTCATGAGATTGAAGAAATAAAATACGATCACAAACTGCAATATATTATTAACTTGCTGCTTAATGTAACCATGAGGTCTAGTTTAGAGAAAATTGTCACAAAATATGACTACACTATTAATAATATAATTATTGAATTTCCTGCAGGAAGTAGGTTTCAGCAAAAGATACGCTTAAAGAGTTTAAATATGATTATCATAATATGATTGTCTTTCTGAGACATAAACAATTATTATTGCGACATTGGTGTTAACATCATTAGTTAATGCCTAGCTGCCATTACCCGATTGCCATTGCCTGATATTTTTATTCAAGCTGATAAACAGTAAAATAGATTGCTCAGATTTCTTGTACAAAATTAACTTTAAGGCCCCAAACGTGACTTCAAGAGAAAATAATGTTTTACATTTTTTGGTTTTATTTTAAATATTGTTGGCAAATCCTAAAAAGTTGTTGAACTAAATTATTTTTAATAACTATTAAATTGGTAGGATGAGTGCGTCTTTTAAGTACCTTTTATTTTATTATTTTTCTGAGTATGAATATTTAGTTATAATTAGACATTTAATTTATACATTCTGGATAAATTAGTTTTCATGACAACATGGAAAAATGTGTCCACAAACAAAAAAATTACGCGGTAAGGGGTTAACATGTACTTAAAATATAATGACGTAAATTACATCTTGACATTTTTAATTGCAGCATAATTAAAATGTAAAATATTTATAACAAAGTACAGTCAATTTCTTTATGCTTGCAGTAGCAGTGTATACAAAATAATATTCAATATACTGTAACTTGTATTGTTTTATTGCATTTTTTTATTAATAATAAATAAATCTTTTACAGCAGCAAGCAACTATCCATGCAGGAAATTATTGTATTTCTTCAATCACTTTACAAACAATCAAGATATATAAATTTTCTTATAACATGAAATCTTGACATATGGTTAATGTTGATAAAACTTATTTAATACATATTTTATCCTAATAAAACATTTCAATCAATTTCATCAATTCATAAATTACAATTTTAGGTATTTTAATTTTATTATTATTGATGGTGTTAAGATTTTTCTTCAAAACATATTTTGTATGATCGATAATATATTTGATACAAACACATAACCGAATTTAAGAGTTAATTGAAAAATACAAAGATATTTTTCAGAATTACCTTATTTTTAAAATACATTGGGTGTTTGAAGATTGATTAGTATAACTACTCAGTTCAAAGAACATTTAATATAATATTCAGTTTTCCGCGTAATTTAAAAACATCCTATATATTTATATAAATGGGTTATTAAAACTATTACAAGCTTAAGCTGTTCATACTCTTTGTTCCTAGTGATCGAGAACTATTCCTTGCTGATAAGTACAAAAGTCAAAATAATTATATAATAAGAAATATTTTACAATATTTCAGATGGAACAATATGGCTCCTGACTGAATACCCAATAAAATAACCCTATTTTAAACACAGTACACTTTTCAAAATAAAAAATTACTTAATTAAAATAAATAACAATGAGCAATTCCCAGTATAAGATTATTTTTACAAAAATGATTAGATTTTTTCGAGTAATTGCTCAGGATAAGTAACAAAAATTTATATATCAATCCTTGGTCTATACTGTAACGTCAGAGGAGGGTTTTGAAAGCGCCATCTCGTCACATAGACGAATTTTAATGTGTGATCTTTGCCAAGTAATTCATCATTACAAAGAATGTCGATCTGAAAACGTCATAAATGTTTTCCCAATAAAACACCCTCATGATAGAATATTCAAATAAAAATAATATAAATGAATATTACATGTTTTTAACAATAAAACTCTGAGAATCTCAAATAACAAGTTAAATATTGTCACAGAGCAATTCTAAAAATGTTTGCAGTAATGACAAGAATTGCAAATAATGAGATATTCGGTAGTTAAGGGAAGAAAACTGAGTTTCATTGCACATACATCTTCGGCTTCCACATGAAGTTCACAAAAATAAAATTATATGCTAAAATACAGGTTCAAAAAAATCATATACCCAATTTTCCTGCCTATGTCAAGTCCCTATAAACACATAATATGCCCAAATAGTTCAAAATACCTTCATACATTTGTAAAATAATTATGGCAGTTAAAAACTGTCCACTATTGTTTATAATTAAAAATAAGGTTTCTAAAACACATTGTAAAATATATAAAACTAGCTTTTGCCCGCGGCTTTGCTCGCGACTTTGCTATTAATATAATATATACTTTGTTATTAATATAAAAAAATACATGACTTCCTTTTTTATTAATTTTAATTAGTTTTATTCATTTATTTTTATTCATGTTTATTAATTTTTATTAATTTTTATTAATTTTTATTAATTTTTATTAATTTTTATTAATTTTTATTCATTTTTATTCATTTTTATTCATTTTTATTCATTTTTATTCATTTTTATTCATTTTTATTCATTTTTATTCATTTTTATTCATTTTTATTCATTTTTATTCATTTTTATTCATTTTTATTCATTTTTATTCATTTTTATTCATTTTTATTCATTTTTATTCATTTTTATTCATTTTTATTCATTTTTATTCATTTTTATTCATTTTTATTCATTTTTATTCATTTTTATTCATTTTTATTCATTTTTATTCATTTTTATTCATTTATTTTTATTCATTTATTTTTATTAGTTTTTATTATTTTTTATTCTTTTTTCTTAATTTTTATTTATTTTTTTTATTTTTTTTATTTTTTTTATACTACCATACAAAAATCTAAAAACCATAGAGCACGTCATTATTTATGCTACAATTAAAATTTTCAAGTTCCAACGTTCAAAAAATGTATACTTCTATAAAAAATTTCACCCCCGTTTCCCCCCCCTAACATGTGAAAATTCAAAAACCATGAAACACATCATTTTTGATTTTTAGTCTGTAGCTGTAATTCAAATTTTTATGTTTCAAACTTTAAATAACAAAAAAATATATACATACAATTAAACAAATTTTCATCCCCCATTTCCCCCCTTAAAATGTTGAAATGCAAAAACCCTGAAAAATTCATTATTTATTTATGATGAGAACCTACAATTCTAATTTTCAAGTTTCTACCTTTAAAAGAAATCAATATTTCCAAATAAACTTTCACCCCCCCGTTTCCCACCCTTAAAATGTGAAAATCCAAAACCCTAAAACACGTCATTATTAATTTGTACTCAGTAGCTGCAATTCCAATTTTCATGTTTTTAACTTTAAAGAGAACCAGAAACATGGATACTCCCAAATAAATTTTCACCCCTCCATTTCCCCCCTTAAAATGTGAAAATCCAAAAACCCTGAAACACGTCATTAATAATTTGTAATCAGTAGCTGCAATTCCAATTTTCATGTTTCTAATTACATAGAGAACAAAAAAATTGATAGTACCATACAAACATTCACCCCCCCCCCCCCCGGTTTCCCCCCTTAAAATGTGAAAATCCAAAAACCATGAAACACGTCATTATTTATTTATGCTTAGTAGCTGTAATTTAAATTTTCATGTTTCTAACTTTAAAGAACAAAGAGTTTCATTAAAAGCTCCCTCCCATTTCCTCCTATTTCCCCCCTTTAATGTTAAAATTTCCAAAAATCCTTTCTTAGCGGATGCTTACGTTATAAATTTCAGCTTTCTAGGCTCAGTAGTTTTGGCTGTATGCTGATAGGTCAGTCAGTCAGTCAATCAGGACAAATAATTTTTTATATATATAGATTACAAAACTATTATTAGACCTAAATATAAATTTTATATATTGCAAGTATATTAAAAAAAATATATAAATTAAAAATAAGAATATGTAAAGATTATAAAAAATTAATTATAAACTAATGATGACAATTTATTAACTAATTTTAATGAGGAATTATTTATTTAATTTAATTCTAAAGGGGTTGCTACATAGCCTTCTATCTTGGATGCTATTTTTATTTGAAATTTATGAAAAATATAAAAGCGTTTTTTTTTAAATAATATATTCATTGTGTTCAACATAAAATATTTAAATTTAATCCATTTATACAGACTATGGCATGATGAAAGGAATTATCCTTTCAGAGACATTGTACATGGCAACTTTGTCATTTTTTTTAACATAATATATCATTACTGCATACAATTTCAGAATTGAATATTTTGGAAAATAAAAGGACATGAAAGGAATTATAGGTACTTACATCTCTGTATTTTTCCATCCCATTCAAGACCTTTTTCGCTACAAATTTTTTTAAATGTAATATAGTAGCTTGGGCAGAACATCGGATAAATCTTCTTTTTAAAGTTTTTAAATTTGAACTAATACATTCTAAACACACGTTCACTTGTTCATCTTGCCTATGATAGTCACTCTCAGTATGAGTGTTATCTGTATGATTATCGTCGCCGTGGACTTCCCCGTTCGTTAGAGGAATGTCTTTGGGATTAGGTAATCCCCTTTGCCTATAGAACTCTTTCTCACGATTAATCTCATCTGGAAAAGAACTAGCTTTATTAAATAATACTTGTAGTTTAAATTAAAATTTAACTACATTTAAGAGAAATATTTACTTGGATATTATAATTAATTTAAAAGTGATAGTGGCAGTTACTGGGCAGCCATGTATCAGTTACTAGAAGTAGCCACTACTACCACCATCCTTTATAGCAACTAAACATAGTCACATCTATAAAGGCTGACATTTTTAGGGATATATGTACTAGTTTGTTATGTTAAAATGACTAATCCATAATAATTTTTGATAGGATGTTTTGAAATATATTCACTTCTGTACACCATTCTCAAAATTCTTCATTTTAATACAATTTGCAAGAAATTGTAATATTTATATTTCAATGTTTTGTTATTGTAATTAAATAAAAATATTTATTATTTCATCATCAGTTTTATTTGTAATTTTAATACTGTATGCATTGCTACAATTGTCAGGAAACTTTTTATAATTTTTATGTTTGTAAAGTGACCTATATCTTATTTTAGTTAACAATAAAAATAGAAATTTGTAAATTTAAATTATTGTATATTCTGGGTGTTAGCCCAATGATAAACAAATATTCATTAACAATGATAAACAAATATTCATTAACAATGTTTTATCACAAATAAAACATGTACATATAATTTATAAAAGATGAGTTTTATTTAAACAATTCTGTCATAAGATACATATCACATCATCAATACAATACCAAAAACATGAATATGCAAATTTTCAGTTCTGAGAATGTGGGGTACATTCATTCTTTCTTATAAATTGGTACTAACAGTGAATGTGTGCAAATATAGAGTTGTTCAAAATGCTGTGATGGGTCTATTCTGGGACAGGTATTGTCTGAATAGCTTGCTTGAAAATGTTTGCAAAAGCATTAGCTATATCTTTGGGATTCCTTAATTCTATAATGTTTTATGCCAAAAGGTTTAGAGGCAAAGCTTCTTTTTAGATTGTTGATGAATGATCAAAAGTGCTTCACATTCTTGATCATAAGGTGTTCAGAGTTTGTAACAAAGGTAAGGTAGCACAACTCAGCTCTATATTTAACTTCATGCCTTTTTATCTGAATAAGCAGAGTAATCTGTATGAAGACATGACCGTTTGAACCACATAGGTATACTTACAGCTTATTTTTTATATAAATAATACTAAATGATGTACCTACATATTTACTTACATATTAAAATTTACAGAATACATTTCTTTATTAATGAGAGAGTATTATTATTAGCAATCTTAATATACAAGAAGCAGGGCCTCTGAGATTTCTGGTGTATAATATGAATTTAAACCATATAAATTATAAGGACCTCTCATGTCAATTTTAGAGTGTAAAATTTCAATTCTTTTTGAATAAAAATCATAAGTATCTTTCCAATATCTAACAGCAATCCATTCTACACATCCACAATACTTATTAAATGCTGCTTTGTTATTATTATTATTCCAGAATAGTTAGCCAATGTTCTCAACAGTTATTTACTTTCAGCATATTGAGCAGATTTTGAGCAGGATTTTTATATGTATATAGACTATATTTAAATAGTAATAACCTCGGTAATAACAAACAATTATTTAGTCATAGAAACATTCTGTAATTTTCATTTATTGAACTTTATACATGCCCCCATGCTATGGGTTCATATGATTGGTCTAAAATCCTCTTAAATATGATAAAAATATTAATTATTTGCTCGCTTACCTTTCTGTAAATCTGGTACCAATTTATAAACAATATCTTGCATAGTTCTATCAAAACTTATGTATTGCAGAGGATGGGATTGGTGTATTACAATATTGCATGTTGGACAAGTATTGTTCTCTTCTAAATGTTTTACTAGGCAGCTCTTGCAGACTAAAAGTAGCAATATTAATAACTTTATTCATTTTGTTTCATCTCAAAATACTTACAAGTATGCAAACATTCTGTAACAGTTGTTGCGTCAATGAGATAACCCCTACATATTTTACATGTTATATGACTATTTAGGGTTTTCAGTTTAATTTTCCTTTCCATTATCATAATTTAAAATAAACCATAATTCTCTAAACCTCTAATTCTAACCCTAATTAATACACAAACAAAAATTGCCAAATGGTTGTCAGGCTTTGACATATCAACGAAACGTTTTGCGCATGCGATTCAGTTGTCAGTTGTCATTTTATTGACATTCTAAGCAATTTTTAGCGAACTAACAAATTTTCTTGGTATTTACCACAAAATTTCTTGGTTATCACGTGCAATTATGGATACTAACGTCACAAGTGGTCATCGCTTGAACGAAGTGTATTTACCGTATTTGTAAGATTGTATTCCTATATAGATACGTTTACATCAATTCTTTGGCTTAAACAATACGGTTTAAATGAAAATCTTTAACACTAACATAACATAGACACGGCGAAAAAGATAGGTTAAATTGAATTGAAAATAAACTTACAGTCATGAAAACACCACTTCGTCGAAGGGTTCAAGCGATGGCCATTTGTGACGTCAGTATACTAAAAGAAATTTTGTGGTAAATACCAATACCAAGAAAATTTGGAAGTTCGCTTGAAATTGCTTTTTGTTGGTTGACGTTTGATTGCCAACGGTGCTAAACATCTGTAAGTGCCAACCTGCCAATAATAAACTTTAAATTTGCATTTAAAAGGGCTGAGAGCCCCGAAAACTAATAAAATGACAGAAAGGACTACTAAAGAAAAAACTATAGCGACACATTACGCCGAATTAAATCGTTTTGGTCAAAATGGAGAGTATGAAAGAGCCTTGAAATCAGCTAATAAAAGTGAGACTAATCTAACCTAATAAGTTTCTTATGGTAATAAATATGTTCTTTTATTAAAGTTTTAGGGGTTGCTTCACAGGAATTCCCAGCTTTCCAATGTAAAATCGTTTGTTTAATTCAGTTGTCCCGTTTTGATGAAGCCATTTCTCTTATGAATAAGAACCCTCAGTTTTTGCAGTAAGTGGGGGTTTACTCTTAATGATATTGTAACGATTCCATATTTTATTCGCAGGGGGTTGATTTTTGAGAAAGCCTATAGTTATTACCGTGCTAATAAACCTGAAGAAGCCTTAAAAACCATAGAATCTAGTGAAGAAGAGCTAGATTACCGCATTAAAGAGTTGAAGGCTCAAATATTGTACAGATTGGAAAAATACAATGATTCTACAAAAATGTACCATGAGATTATTAAAAATACTCATAATGATGACTACGAGGATGAGAGGTACACTAACCTTAGTGCAGCCATGGTCCATTTAAGTGCTGAAGAAACAGTGAGATATAATTATTTATAAATATCTACCTTATGTTAAGCAATTGAGTTTATTTTAGATTGAGACAGAAGATTTTAGAGAGATTACATATGAACAATGTTACAATAAGGCTTGCTTGCTAATTGCTCAAGAAAATTATGCAGATGCTGAAAAAAAATTACGACAATGTGAAAAATTATGCAGAGAGATGCTGGAAGAGGATGAGGCATCTGAAGAAGAGATTGATATAGAACTAGCATTAATCAGGTTTGGTTTTTGTAAAATTTATTAATTTCACATTGTAATAAATAAATGGCATCAATTTTTTCACCATTATGAGTAGACATTGAAAAACTCATACCTACCTATACCCATATTGGTGCCAACCAGCTCAAATATCTGACTGATTCAGTCTTTGTTTGTTAAAATGACTTTTCAAAAATAAACTGCATATTTTTTAAACCAAAATTAGCCGATTTAAGTAAACTTACCTCAGTACAAAGTTTCTATATTTACTACAAAAAAGGTACTCTGAAAAGACTTGATTACTCACATGGTTTTGGTTAAATTCCTGTGTTAGCAAATACATTATTTTAAGTGTGCAATTATTAAAAAAAATATATTTAAATTGACTTATTTTGGTCTAAGGAATATTTGGTATGTTTTTGTAAAGACTTTTTACATAAATCCTGTATTGTTTAGTGTTTAGTTTAGAGACTTTGTTTTGCAGCATTTTAAAGATTTTTTTTTTTTAGAATACAGTTAGCCTATGTGTATCAAAAACAGGGAAGAATCAAGGAAAGTCAACAAATGTACATTACAAACCTTAAACTAAAGCTAGATGATAGTGCTCTAATGGCTGTTGCTAGTAATAATATTGTTTGCATTAATAAAGACCAAAATTTGTTTGACTCCAAGAAGAAAATGAAAGTAGCCTTAAATGAGGCCTTAACATTTAAGTTGCCTTCCAAACAGAGAAAATACATTGCACTTAATAATGCAATTCTCAACTACTATATTAATCAGACTGATCAATGTGAAAAAGTGTGTAAGATAATAAAGGAAAAGTGGCCTGAGCTCCATATGCAAACCACAGTGCTAACTGCTTTGAATCTTATGAAATCTGACAGGGTTCAAGATGCCATCAATTTGCTTACAAACACCAAAACTGATGATAATTTATATGTAAAGTTATGTATTGCACAAATATATTTAATGCAAGTAAGTTAATAATAATCAAATATAGATCATGACTTGTTCTTCTTCCTTAACAGTTTCTTCTGAAATCTTTGTATCATTTAGTTATTACTTTCGATGATACACTGCCATATGCCTATAAACATGAATCACTAGCTTCAAATTATTGTCTTGGGGAGGGGGTAATTACAGCCATTGCCAGCCCCTCTTAGCTTCCTTTGGAATCACTTCATTTGAAGTTTTCAAATTGGCAATAGAACCCTCTTCTGAAATATTGAAACTTATTTAAAATATAGTATGGTTTCATATATTCTTCATCATTTATGGTTTTTAAGGGAGAAAAACTCGAAGCCTGCAAGGTTCTAGAAAATATAGGAGAAGACAGTTACAAACCAGGTATTGTCGGAGCCCTAACCACCTTGTATCTGGGAATTGGTGAAGAAAAAACAGCTCTTAAAGTATTTGAAAGAACTGTTGAATTTTACAAAAAAAATAAGGTATGAATATCATTAGTTATTTTGAGACTTTTCAGTTATTATCTATGTTTTAGGTCAAAGGTGTAGATTTGTCAAATCTGTGGAGGCAAGCAGCTGAATTCCACATTAAAAAAGGCCTACCTCAAGTTGCTGTCAATAGTTTAGAAGAATTACTGAAAAACAATAAGGATGATACAAAATTAGTTGCCCAACTTATTTTGGCTTATGCACAGGTAATTTTTTGTGCATTTGTCTTGTATTGATAGTTACTTTTCAATTGTTGATATATTTTTTATAGTTCAATGAACCTCAAGCATTGAAATTGAGCAACCAATTGATTTCAATAGATGAATTATCAAAAGATGTAGACCTTGAAGCTCTGGAAGCCACACAACTGTTGACTGTTACTTATAACAAGAGAAGTCCTGCATCCAAACAAGAATCACTACCAAGGTAGGTATTAAAAGAAAAGTTTGGTTAAAAATTAATAGATATAATTGGAAAATTACTTTATAGCACTCCTCGTGACGAACCTGTTAAAAAAACTAGAAAACACAAGAAGCGCAAGGGAAAACTACCTAAAAACTACGATCCTAATACACTTCCTGACCCAGAACGTTGGTTACCGAAATATGAAAGAACTGGTTTTCGCAAGAAGAGAGACAGAAGAGCTAAAGAAGTTATTAAAGGTTCCCAAGGCACAGCTTCTGGTCAAGCTGAGCAATTGTAAGAAAATAAGACATATTTTGTAACACCTTCTACATTACTATCTTTTTTTTTTTTAGTGACTTTTCAAAGTTTGTGGATGAATCTTCAGATACTGGAAACTCTGTAGATCCTTCTCCTAGAACTAAACCTGTCGTACATGCCCAGAAACGAAATCAGCAAAAGAAAAAGAATAAGAGGCGATAAGTTTGTCCATCTGTTAAGAAATTTATAAATTGTTTTGTAATAATGAGATTTTTCTATATTCATTGGTAAATAAATGTTTAGGAAAAGTAGTTTTTTATGACTGTAGTGTATAATGTGTTGCCTATATATACGTTTTAGGGTCTATGTACTCGATAACTCATGAAAGGATCAACAGAGAAACACCAAATTCTAAACTTAATCTTTAATCCATCGTGCGGTGAGTTGATTAGATTTTGAGCGTAATCGGAATATCTAGGAGGTACTTTATAGGGGGTCGTTTTTCTACTTTATCGAATATATCTGGTATTTATGCTTGGAGAAAAAAAATCTTCAAATAAAAGTTGCTTGTGATGTTATTCTTCATAATTTTTGTTCTATACATAATTTTCCTAAAATGAACCGTATTCTAGAAATTTGAGGAAAAGTGCAAATTACGAATTTTGAAAATAACTCAAAAACGGATAAAGAGAAAAGCCAAATTTTTAATTTAAGCTTTACTGCATCCAGCGTTGAGCATAGTCGAACCATCTGGAGGGAGTACTTTATAGAGTTTTGGTTTTTTGCTCTAAGAAATATGTTATTTACGCTTAGAGAAGGAAATTCTTCAAATGCAAGTTGCTTGTGATTTGATTTTCTATAATTTTTGTCCTGAACATAATTAAAAGCTAAAATAGTGAATTAAAATTCAAAATTTTAGGCAGAGGACCCTCCAGACAGGTGTCAACCCCCCCCCCCCTCTAAAAAGTTATGAATACGTCCCTGCTGCCGATTGAGAATAGGACACTTTAAATTAACGCCGCATAAAGATCTGCTTAAAATTAATCCACCAAAAAACGGTTATTCTGTGACAGCCCGATGACATATATTGAATTGTTTACCAAAAGAAAGTAGCTTTTCAAAATGTCCCATCCAGGCGACATTTAAGCGTTTGCTAATTTAAGATAAAATTATGTTAAAAATGATATTAGTTCCTACCAAAAGATTACAGTAGATACCAAAGTCCATAACTTTTTTTTATTAGAAATCAAAGAGTAAATAGTATATTATTACATAAACATATTTTTTTTTCATATTTACCTGATTTGTTGAATCTAGAAAAAGTTAGAAATTGAAGAAGGTTTTTTATTTGATATATATAATAAGCCTTAATTTACCATCGGAATATTTATAACTTTTTTATGAGTACTTACAGAAAAAAATGTAATTATAGTTTTATAGGTAGACTTTAAATTAGACATTTACTTAATTGTACCTAACATTTACAAATTATAATTTTGTTTTGCTCTATCCATGTCGTCTATTCACATTATTATTAAAGTTGATTTTCTAATAAGTAATGCAAACACAGGCTAGTCTTTGTACTTTTGAAATATTAGCTAAACTTGTTCTGTTACTCCAAACTATAGCCCCGTAACTGATGATTGGTCTCATTATTGCAGTATACATCCATCGCAGTATGTTTGGGTTACATCCCCATCGTTTACCTGCAATGTTTCTGCATACCATTAGGGCTTTTGTGGCTTTATTTATTACTTTCTTCTCATATGTGTGTCCCAGAGAAGTTTGTTGTCCAGGGTTAGGCCTAGATATTTGACTTCATTTTTCCATTCTATATCTATCTCGTCTAATTTAACGGTTTTGAGATTAAGTTTTCTTTTCCTTTAAAAGACTACAATTTACGGCACCATCTTTAGGTATGTTCTAGTCCTCGTTGGACTATATCACACAGGATATTACTAAACTTGCCACTAGCAAATATAACTATGTCGTCGGCATAACCTTGTCAGGGTATGCCGAGGTCAGTCAATCTACATAGAAGTTCGTCTACGGTTAGGCTCCACATTAGTGGGGATAGAACTCCTCCTTGTGGACATCCTCTGGTTGTGCAGCTGGAAATTGTGTCCTGCCCTATCTTTGTATCTGCAGTTCTCGTAGATAACAGCTGAGCCATCCATCTGGATGTGATGTTATCTACTCCTCTGTATGCAAGTGCTCTTTTTACAGATTCGTGTGGCGTGTTGTCAAAAGCTCCTTCTATGTCTAGGAAGGCACACACGACCGTTTCTTTGTTTGTCAGTGCATCCTGGATTACGTCAGTCAACTGTACTAGGGCAGTTTCTGTAGATCTTCCTGCTAGGTACGCGTTTTGGCTATGGTGGAGTGGCACCCTCTCCAGGACTTCCAGGTATAATTATATAACAGCCTTCCCCATTGTTTTTAATACGAAGGATGTGAGGCTGATTGGTCGGAAGGATTTAGGATGCATATGTGTGGTATCCTTTTTCCCTACTTTTGGAATAAAGGTGACTCTGGCCCTTCTCCATGCTTCTGGTATATGGGTGCATATGGAGGTACCGGAAAAGCAAGACATGGTATTACAACCAAGCAACAATAAGACCTGCTCACTGTTCCTAAAGACTACTCGTTGGTCAATAGCACTTCTGTCAGCATCAACGACGCTCGAGATCTGGCATCTATGTTCTGGAAGAAGTTTGGTCGATTGCCAGAACTTCAAGGTCAGTTACCAGCCCCTGGAAAAGCCTAGAAAGTTCAAGATGGGTCATGTTACCTTTTCTATTTGGTAACAAAGGACACCTTTCGAGATCGACCCGCTAATCATGATCATGATGTATGAGAAGCATTATTTGTCTAAGGGAGCATGTACTGGAGTCTAATATACAGAAACTAGACACATCAAAGATAGAGAGCAACCAGCTGAATTGGAGGATCATTAGAAATTCTAATCGATTTTCGCTTAGCGAAACTTTCCTCCTCATACGTTTCTAGAAATAAGTATTTTGAAAACAATTTAATTAATGAAAATAAACATACGTCTTTATATACCCAACAAAATCTACCTAATAAAGTTAGGAAATTAACATAAAGGATCACCTGTTGAACAGACAGTACTTCTAATGATTATATCTACCTATGACTAACAATAATGATATTGATAAGGAGAACTATGGATCACCCGTTTTTAATTTTGTTTTTGTTGTTATAAAGCGTTTCATCGTTATCAAATTTCGAAATAGTATAGATTACTGAAGTGCTAAACATTTTTTTCTATGGCTATAATATAAAACTACACTTTCTCGACTCTTGCTGATTAATAAATGAGATACATTTTCTTATTTGATAATTCTGTTAACACAAAGTATTGATTTCCGTATTAGATCGCTATATCTGGTAATACAAAGTAGTCATTTCTTAATTATTTTAATAAAATCACGTGTGTTTATGAAAGCCTACATTTTTAAAATGTCTAAATCAATGCAAATACAAAATATATACAAAGGTATGTTATTAAAATTTCAAAATAAAGGAAAACAAGGAAATATTTAAGCGATATAATTATAATAATACTCTCCCTAAATCAGCCCCTTACGAGTGAATTTCAACCCCTGAAGTTGACTGAACAACTTGTGTAGGGGAAGGGACGGCTATTATTATTATTATTATTTGCCGTGACTTAAAAATTATTGATGGTTCTATTTGACTTATAGGTGAGGAAAAACCTCACCCACCATCATCGAGACGGTAACGCATGGCGATTTTATAATATGCATGTCATATCAACAGAAATTGAATTTCTATTAATACGGCACACATCAAATTCTATAACGAACCATGTAATTTAATTAAAAATCCACATGGTCTGATGTATGTCACAAAATAATACGAGCGATCGTTTTCCTGCAGAAAACAACTACTCCTTTGGCCAATACCACAACAAGCATTGAATTATATCCGAAGAGAAACATCGAGCTTCTATTTTGTTTACTTAGGAAAACGTCATTCTTGGACTCTGTTTCGTTCTTATTAAGGATTCGTCAGCAAGAGATATACATTATCGAGTACAATTAGAAATGGAACTTGTATAGATGCCTAAAATTTTCTCGTCTAACTTAATTTTGGCTTTGTTTAGAGGAGATTTTTGGCTAGTGTGTCAACTATGAAATACATTATGGGTTTTTTCGTATTTGGTTCTTCGCGACGGTCCAATTCAACACTAGTTGGGTTTATTTCATCTACTTCCAACAATTTTTTTTGAGCGCTTTATTGCTTATATTCTTCCTAAGACTAGAGTGTGCGACTGCTACAATTGTGAGGTCGTCCGCATAATGCGAGTGTGTTGAATCCCTCTGGTTGACGGATCTTAAGCATTCCGTCATACAAAATGTTCTAAAGGAGTGGCCCGAGTATATACCCTTGGGGTACTCCACATAACGTTTTAATGATTTCTTTCCCGTCCTGATTTTCGATAATGATTTCTCTGTCACTCGGATAATTACCTATAATCCTATGTGGACAAGATTCCATTTCCCTTTTCAATTTTTTTGTTTGGTTTAGAGATGATCTATTTTATTGCAGTGCCGTATCAGATACATGTTGAGCAAAGTACACTTGAACACATTTAAGACCCGGACTTTGAGACTATTCATAAAACAAGAATAATTCCTTGAATTAACTATTAAAAGTATATCTTGGTAGAATTCCTATATTGTTATCAGAAAGCAAACAAATTTTCCGTAATGACTTAAATCCAAATATTATAGATTTTTTTTTTCAGTTAGGTAAGAATAACAATACTTCATGAATACCCATGTCTTGTTGAGGTTTGCATGACCTGATTTAAGAATTTAGAACATTCATATTCATCTTTTTAAATCTTTTTGAATAACTACCTAAAACTATCCATTTGTTTTTCGTTCATTTGATTTAATTTCTTTATTTTTTTTCCAAAAGCATTGACATCAAACCATTAGTACAACGTCATAATAATAATAAAAAAAAATTATGATAAACAAGTTTTTACTTCCTTATTGGTATCATTAGTGTTGTTAGATATTCAATATTATTTGCGAATCTTTAGTATTAAGGCGTATTTCACTATTTGTTTTTATTTATATTTAAACGATAAATAACTACGATAGTAGCGTTTTCTTTATTTGATATAAGTCTAAGTATGTCACTACCTTGACAAAGAGGTAAAATTA